TGATTAAACTCAAGAAAATGTATTAAATTTTAATCAAATTTAGTTTATTAGCACTTTATTAAGTTGTATACGTTAAGGCTTTTACTTAAAAACTAACCGAAATAGATTGACGCACATAGAAATTAAAAATAACAAAATGTAATTTAACTCAGGGCATTTGGGTTTATCATTGCTCTTTTTGATGTTTAAAAGTACACTTATATAATTTCATCATTACACAAATAATTTTAGCGGTTTCGACAACGATTATTATAGCGCTAAAAATAATGAAATATGTAGGAATTGAATATGCTTCTTATCTTTATTTCGAATCAAATTAAAAATATGTTTATGTTAATAACTAATATAAGCTATTATATGTATTTAAACATGTTGGATAATATTATTTAAAAATGGGTCAAATGATCATACATTTGTGTTATCATCTAATAAACTTGACTTTAGAATCATCTAATAGAAACTTACAAATTGTAAAAAATTGTAAAAAACTTATAAATTGTAAAAAACACAAACATATTTCTTGAACATAAAAGAGAGTGGACAATATCTTATGGATATCGATCGATGTTTCTCTTAACGTGTCCGAATTTCTTCGCGCGCGTACAACAAAGATCGAAGCCTCGACGTGCCCGTGATTTATTTCGTTGGACACTTTTCTGGGAGAAACGTGACTGGAAGTACGGGTTAGCCAATCCTTTAAATCACTGAAGCAGCACTAGAGAGTCGAAATCGGTATCTTGGCTGCTATATTCCGCGCACGATTGAGTTCGAATGGCGTTCCTACGATGCTCTATCATCGTACCTTTGTCTTGTGGCTGCAAACGATAGTCACCGCAAAGTTAGAACCCAACATCATCCTCGAAAAGGAAACGAGACTCGAAAAATACGTGCGTGACTGTCAGAAAATATCGCGCGAAAATGTTTTCTCATGCATTATCTCGACATTCCATAAAAGGTTAAAGGAATTTTCTATTTTGAGAAGAACGAAAAAATAATATTGAAATATATTTTATTCTATATAAAAATAATCATAGCTGCCAATTGATGAATTTTCTTTTTAGTCCTTGTTACACGACTGACATATTTCTCTGTGTAAAGATTTAATAACGATATAACTTTTCATAATATACTGGCAACTTCTATAGGTATACCTCTCTTGCATAAAAGTGGAAGAAGATACTAACGAGACGAAAAGATGAAACGGTTGGTCTTTACGGCAATGTAGTGGGAGGTAAACTAAGCTAGCATGCTTTAACGACAACGTTCAAGATTTTAATACCTCGTTACGTAAAGTCCGATCTTTCAACTTTTTGCGATGCGACGTCTTTAGGGAACTCTTTTGAGGCTCAAGGTTTCCTCGAAAAGCTTGGTAGGGTGATTCAGCTTTAGCGACGAGCTAAATTTCATTAGTTAATTACGTGCCAGAACTTCGCCAAGATTTTCTTCTTAGGATGCTGATCTTCGCTGCGCGACTCATATAACACGAGTCTGTATGCACGATGACATTTCCAGACGCGAATGTGAGTTATTCTAGGAAAACGAGTGTCCGATTTCAGAGATCTTTCCATGATTAAAGCCCTTCGTTTAGTTGGCGCGAGAGCTGTTCGTTTCGTTCCGAAACACAAACGCAAAAGTGATAATGATGGAACGGCGGGGATAAGTATTGATCGCGCTCTGCGGCTGGCCAGTAGTTACGGGCCGGTGCGGTCAAACAGCCGTAATAGAACCGGTCGTGGTTAGCCAGTAGTAAGAGCGTACCTGCGGTCAGACAGTTAGTATCAGGTCCCTCTGCGGTCTGATACGAGCAACTGTTCTACTTCGTCATACTATGCTTCTATTTTGAAACTTTTGATGGTTGTATTGTCAGTATTATTTTAGTCCGAAAATGCAAATGTGTGCGCGCACACCCCACACACACACACACACACACACACGCGCGCGCGCGCGCGCGCACACGTACCTCTAATCCAATTATAAAATTTTAGATGGGGAACAATTATTTTCTTTTATCTTTTGAATATAAACTCGTAGTGTTTTTCTTATGTACAATGTTATTTTTCACATTTTTAATAAACATTAAACGGATTACATAAAAATTTACAATCGATGCATATTTAATACAATTCAAGAATATCAAATTACATATTAATTATTATTATTATTATGCTAAAATATAATGTAATAATAATATATGATAACAATATAAATGGGATGATTGAAAAGATAATATGGTACAGAAACTACGGAAGCAATTTTAAAGTTGTTTGTTGTACCTTTTCAAAGGGATGCAGGAATAAAGCTGATTAAACACTTAAGGCTAAATTGATTAAAGGCATAATTATAATTTAAAAGTCACACAAATAAATTTCTCACCTTGGAGAAAAACTGTTTATCATTTTTTCATAAATAAATTAACTTTTTAATTCGACTACAATTTTCCTTGTCATGTCTCATTAGAAAAAAATTTAATATTCTATTATTTTCAAATCAATAATTAAAAAAATATTAACGAGAACTTCATAATTTTATTATCTTAGTAGAGTTGTACATGCGTGCGTATGTGTGTGTATTTTTGTCTGTGCGTAGTTATATGTATACTACATAACTGAAGCAGATATATACATATCTTATTGCATAAAATAAGATATTCTAAAATCAGATAATTTTCATTGTTTGCATATAGACAAAGAGAGTCTGTAATTATTTGCAGACCTTTCTTCTGTATATGTCTGAGAAAGCTTCAATGATGACATGAATAAAAGATATGAGAGGAGAAATTCGCGTAGAGTAGAAAGTTGCGCCGACGAAGACAAATTGCGTTACAGAATTCTTCAGAGGAAAAATATAAATGATTATACGCAAAGGATGAAGAAGAATGAAGCCGGAAATAGAGACGTTTGTAATGCACGGCGATTAATCTCTGTGTTTTTCAGATCGAAGACAGATGCTAGCTGTTAAAATATATTTACCTATTGTTTATCAAATAATGTCGGTTTACGTACATAGATTGAAGAAATATTACTGATGTAGTTATCTTTGTTTATTTAATCGCGTAATTGATAGCGAGACTATACCAATATCTATTTAATATCTAAGTGTGATAACATAATATCGATGTTGCAATACAACGTACTTTATCTATATAACAGGAATGCGCACGCGGCTATGCTTGGAGAAACCAGTTAGAACAAACAAGAACTTCCTAAGTATACAGCCCTCATGCTATGTATTTCGAATCATTGCGTATATCAGAAACTTGCAAACCGTGGATGCAGCAGAGAAACAATAAACTTTGTTAGTAAGTAGATATAAATACGGAAGTGTGGTCCGTATGTTGACTTTTAAACGGAACTTGAGCATTGCTGTTAAAATAAAAC